TTTCTGTATTGCTTTATTGCATTTAAATGTTCAGTTATTTTTGTTATAAGAGAAAAGTTATTAAACCTGGTATACCGTATTGTGACAGCACTTTTTTTAAAACCACATTTCAATATCGTGATAATACCGTATACCGCGATAAAAGCATTAGCAATTAATCGCAACATGAAAATTTGATACCGGCACATCCCTATTTCACACCTTAAAATACTGCCTGTGTAGGGCGCTTACTAGAGAAATAACAACATGCAGGGGTTGTGAGGGACAATTATTACAAATCCATGTGAGGGGGCGTGGCTTGTCGCCAGGGAAACAGCAGGGACACTTTTGCATGAGTCAGCAGAAAAGTTTTCCAGCTCGCGCGGCTGATTTCCGCTTCCGTCTCTGCTGCTGCTGCTGCTGCTGGACTCTGAAGGAAAGATGGCGGCGGCCGAGACCGATCGCGATGTACCGTCCGCGCTGTGTAGCGAATTCCTCAATTTCTCCGCAAAGGACACCGCTGCGGTAGGCGACAGTTTCATAAAGACTCTCTAAAATGTCTCTCCTGATGAATTATATGCCTTTGTTTGCCGTAATCGATGCGCTGGCGATACATTTTCTGTTTTTCTCGCTCCCCGTCTCGGGTTGTTTTGCTCAGTGTCGTTCTGCTAGCGCGCTAACAGCTAGCCTGTGAGATGTGCACGCCTCGAGCTCCAAAACACGCACTTGGCACTCCGAATATTTATTTAACATAGCTGCAAGTCAAACATTCTTTCGTTTCTCGCGTTTTGGGTTTAACTCGTGGCTTTGCTGACAAAGATATCGCCGTTCAAAGAGATCTGTCAAGAGTTGGATCAAAACAACTGGCTGCTTTGTTCATCGTCTGTACGTGATGTAACGCTAGTTTATGGTGTAATTAACATGGCCTCACAAACAGCTCTTTTAACAGTGTTAAAACGGAGCTAGGCAAGCACACAGTAAAACAGAGCTTGGCAGTTTGTAAAAACATCAGTGTACGCTGTATTTCTGGTTTCTGTCTTTGTGTAGCAGGTGTTGTGGTTTACAATCTAAACATTAATTTTATAGCCCAGTTACATGCGTTTCATTTTGTAAATTGGCTAAGCCACTACATTTACATGCCACATCTATCTCAAAAACAAGTAGCTCAGATGGTTACAAAGTAGCTCAGATGGTGGTTATATTAAACCACATGCGAGACCTCACTTTGCATTGTCTTGCATGGGGTTCAATACAACCACCATCTGAGCTACTTGTTTTTGAGATAGATGTGGCATGTAAATGATAGTGGCTTAGCCATTTATACAAAATGAAAGACAGCACTGCACATTATCCTGGGTATGGTAAACGGTATATTTGACACCATGTGCATGAAAAACACGGGTGACTTTGCACTTTAGGTCTGTGCGGATAAAACTACAAATCTCGATCAGCTTTGGCAAGGTCTGAAAACAGATGCTGGATTGTTTGGCAATACGCTCTAGCACTAAATCCAGGTTAGTAGGTCGATGTAGACAGTCACAAACGACTGCCAAGTTCCGCTTGCTGTGCATACGTAAGCCCTATGTTTCCTTACAGCATGTGGGTGTTGTGTGGCACGTACATGCTGTTGGACATCAGCTAGGTTGTTACAGTATTTCCTTTAGGAATAATGCTGTCAGAATTGCACACTATAAAACCTAGCGAGCTAGTCTTCTAAAGCTGCATCTTAACTAATATAAACACTCTACATGCATAAGGAGAAAGGGAAAAAGTTGCTGCCAGTGTGTCATATTTCTGGAATGTTTTTTTCCGAGTGCATTCTGGGGTTGTATTCTCAATTAAAAAATATTTGATGCTATTATAAAATGTCTAATGAAAAAATGTCATTTTTCCCCATGTTTCCTTGTGTCATGGCCATGATGGTTACAAACCGAGTTTGTTATTAAATAATTAAGCACTTTTACAACAAAAGCTATATTTCCCCCCCCCAAAACTAGGCTATACCACCGAAGTTTGTGGTAAGATTATTTTTGTAAGAAGTCTAGTATGCTCACCGTGGTGGCATTTGGTCAAAAATACAATAAAAACAGTAATATAATGATAATTTAAAAGCTGTTAATCCAGTCTTTAGTGTCACATGATCCTTCAGAAATTATTCTGATATGCTGCTTTGCTGCCTAAGAAACATTTCCTCTTATTATTAGCAACGTTGAAGACAATTGTGCTGCTTAACATTTTTGTGGAAAACATTGTTCACTCTGCTGCTGCTGCTGCTGCTGGACTCTGAAGGAAAGATGGCGGCGGCCGAGACCGATCGCGATGTACCGTCCGCGCTGTGTAGCGAATTCCTCAATTTCTCCGCAAAGGACACCGCTGCGGTAGGCGACAGTTTCATAAAGACTCTCTAAAATGTCTCTCCTGATGAATTATATGCCTTTGTTTGCCGTAATCGATGCGCTGGCGATACATTTTCTGTTTTTCTCGCTCCCCGTCTCGGGTTGTTTTGCTCAGTGTCGTTCTGCTAGCGCGCTAACAGCTAGCCTGTGAGATGTGCACGCCTCGAGCTCCAAAACACGCACTTGGCACTCCGAATATTTATTTAACATAGCTGCAAGTCAAACATTCTTTCGTTTCTCGCGTTTTGGGTTTAACTCGTGGCTTTGCTGACAAAGATATCGCCGTTCAAAGAGATCTGTCAAGAGTTGGATCAAAACAACTGGCTGCTTTGTTCATCGTCTGTACGTGATGTAACGCTAGTTTATGGTGTAATTAACATGGCCTCACAAACAGCTCTTTTAACAGTGTTAAAACGGATCTAGGCAAGCACACAGTAAAACAGAGCTTGGCAGTTTGTAAAAACATCAGTGTACGCTGTATTTCTGGTTACTGTCTTTGTGTAGCAGGTGTTGTGGTTTACAATCTAAACATTAATTTTATAGCCCAGTTACATGCGTTTCATTTTGTAAATTGGCTAAGCCACTACATTTACATGCCACATCTATCTCAAAAACAAGTAGCTCAGATGGTGGTTGTATTGAACCCCATGCAAGACAATGCAAAGTGAGGTCTCGCATGTGGTTTAATATAACCACCATCTGAGCTACTTTGTAAAAACAAACTACTTATGTTTTTGAGATAGATGTGGCATGTAAATGATAGTGGCTTAGCCATTTATACAAAATGAAAGACAGCACTGCACATTATCCTGGGTATGGTAAACGGTATATTTGACACCATGTGCATGAAAAACACGGGTGACTTTGCACTTTAGGTCTGTGCGGATAAAACTACAAATCTCGATCAGCTTTGGCAAGGTCTGAAAACAGATGCTGGATTGTTTGGCAATACGCTCTAGCACTAAATCCAGGTTAGTAGGTCGATGTAGACAGTCACAAACGACTGCCAAGTTCCGCTTGCTGTGCATACGTAAGCCCTATGTTTCCTTACAGCATGTGGGTGTTGTGTGGCACGTACATGCTGTTGGACATCAGCTAGGTTGTTACAGTATTTCCTTTAGGAATAATGCTGTCAGAATTGCACACTATAAAACCTAGCGAGCTAGTCTTCTAAAGCTGCATCTTAACTAATATAAACACTCTACATGCATAAGGAGAAAGGGAAAAAGTTGCTGCCAGTGTGTCATATTTCTGGAATGTTTTTTTCCGAGTGCATTCTGGGGTTGTATTCTCAATTAAAAAATATTTGATGCTATTATAAAATGTCTAATGAAAAAATGTCATTTTTCCCCATGTTTCCTTGTGTCATGGCCATGATGGTTACAAACCGAGTTTGTTATTAAATAATTAAGCACTTTTACAACAAAAGCTATATTTCCCCCCCCCCAAAACTAGGCTATACCACCGAAGTTTGTGGTAAGATTATTTTTGTAAGAAGTCTAGTATGCTCACCGTGGTGGCATTTGGTCAAAAATACAATAAAAACAGTAATATAATGATAATTTAAAAGCTGTTAATCCAGTCTTTAGTGTCACATGATCCTTCAGAAATTATTCTGATATGCTGCTTTGCTGCCTAAGAAACATTTCCTCTTATTATTAGCAACGTTGAAGACAATTGTGCTGCTTAACATTTTTGTGGAAAACATTGTTCATTTATTATTCAGAATTATTTGATGAATAGTAAGCTCAAAATAACAATTTTAGGTCGTTAATCTCACTTTTGACTGATTTAATGCATTCTTGCTGAATAAATGTATTCATTTCTTTAAAAAAGCCCAAACTTTTAAATGGTAGTTTATAAACATACATATGAGATTAACATCTGACGCATTCTATGTTAAAGCATAAAGTTGTGAGGTCTTGGCAGCTAGAAACAACTAGACTCTCCTTGCCTTGATTAAAAAAAATAAATACATACTTTTGTGTCTAATTTAAGGGATAAATAATGTGAAGGTTGATGCCTGAACTTCATCTGGCATGTACATTCTGAAAAGGAGAGAAAAACATAATGTGATGAATTTGTTTCCCATTTGATTCTCTGGAAATAAGCAGTAGCACATGGTAATGTAACTAATGTGTATATTTAATATTATTTCCAACTTTTCTTTGTCTACCCACAAAAAAATACTGCTATTGTGAAATAAGGTTTTGGTCATACCACACACCTCTAGAATGATCTTTGTGTCATTGTTCAGCTTAGTACTTGCAAGAAAATGAACTTGTGTGGGAAATGTTTTAGAAAATGACCACGTTCCAGCCCATGCAATTATACAACAGCAGTGCAATCAAAGACTGGCCACCTGACCACTAGTGTTCTTTTTCAAGCCTGACCTTTGTCCACCTGACTTGTTTACTTTGCCAATTATGGGTTTAGTTTATTTTTTTTGGGCTCTCTGTGTTTGCTTTTGCTCTATAGCACTGATTAGCAGATACTTATTTATTTAAATTTTTTTGTGTGTCTAATATTTTGCCCGTCTGTCCATAGAAATGGCTGCAGGTGAGCAACCTGCCCAAAGAGGTGTACCAGCACTTGGCCTGCTACGTCCCCAAGATCTACTGCCTGGGCCCCAACCTGAACCCTCAGAATGAGGACCTTCTGGCTCCGCTGCTGCTTCAGAGCCCGCTGGAGTGGTACCTGTGCGGGGAAGAGCCGTCCGTGGGATTGGCCAAGCTGGAACAGAACAACCAGCCCTCACAACTCTGTGGCCATGTGTTTAAAGTGGGAGAGCCAACGTACTCCTGCAGGTACAACGTCAATACTTCATCTCTTTCTGATCCGCCCAAAGAAGGGTTGATTCTCATCTAGACTGCATTCACAATGATTCTTAATTTGTTTGATTTCAAAAGGCAATGAAGACAAGCCGTTGTTCCAAAACGTAGTGAGCTGCACATTCATGATTTAATAGGTTTTGGAATCTTTTTTTTTTTTAAAGAAGTCTCTTATGCTTACTAAGGCTGCATTTATTTGATCGAAAATACAGACATTTTATTACCATTTTAAACAACTGTTTTCTAAGATAATATATTTTAAAATTGAACCTGAATTTTTAGCATCATTACTCCAGTCTTCAGTGTCCTTCAGAAATCATTCTCTTCAAATAAATGCTGTTCTATTGAACTTTCTATTCATCAAGGAGTCCTGAGAAATGTCATGTTTTCCACAAAAATATTAAGCAGTAAAAGCTAATATGAAGAACCATTATTAAAAAATGAGGATCAAAATTAATTGATGATAATTGAGCATAGGGCTGGACAATAATTCAATATTAATAATTTTTCCAAACTTTTCACTGGTAGTGTATGTGTCACAGTTGAATTTATTACACTTATTAATTTTTTCTCTGCAAGTCTTCAGCCATGCGTGTATGCTGTTGAAGTTGTTGTAGCCGTCTGACCTGGGATACTGTAGGTCAATGTGTTCCCACAGACATGGAAGTCTTGGCTGAATTAGGTCAGGTTGCTGTGAGGTTAAGTCCTTTAGGCAAGATCACTGTAAGCCGGCTAAGAGGCCGGAGGTGACTGGAGTATGTACTGTTCTGCTCCGTTTCTTCGAGAAACAAATTAAAGGGCTCACACATATCTTGAATGCTTCATCATGCTGGCATTATCAGATTTGAATCTTATCTGGCTGATGTGAATGGTGTGTGAAATATATCTTGCATCCTAAGAATGTGTGCAGGTGTTCATTTTCAATCCTGTGATGTAATGTGCCACTGGCTCTGATCCAAACCCTAGTTCTCCTAGTTCTTTTTTTGGTATTTCCTCTGAGATGGCTTTATTTATTTTAATTGGAGGACTCATTGACTCTCATTCACTAAACGTGTACGCCTGAGTCAAATCTGTCTACTAATTTTAAGCAACAGTTAGGCAGCTCACTGTTTATATATATCTTTTTTTTTGTTTTTGCATCTTCAGTTCTACTCTGCAAGTAATTCACTTTGATATTTTTCCTTTTCAGGGAGTGTGCGGCTGATCCGACCTGTGTGCTGTGTATGCAGTGCTTCTTAGGCAGCGTTCACAAAGAGCATCGCTACAGGGTAAGTGGAAACAGAGACATACACAGTAGTCACTTTACTCATGGTGCACATCTTTGTAAAGGTTACAGGACGGATGAAGCTGTTGCATTTGTGAAGAAAATGAAACAAAATGAACAGCCTGTTGACACAAAAAAAATTTGTTTTTAAATAAAAATCGTAAAGGTAGTTGCAAAAATGGTTGGAAAATGAGTTTTTGTGGAGTATCATATTTGATGCACCAGGCTTTATTGGCTAATATAGTGTGATCTAGAGGCAAAAACACCTCGTATCTACCAAACTGAGGAAAAATGCAATTTGGTGCAGTTGCTAATATTTATATAGCCAAAAAGTAAGATTAAACTTTGATAGCTTGTAATGTAGGTCAGTGAGATCTTTATAACAGTATAGCAGACTGCTGACAAAAAATGCAGAGTAATATTATTTGTTTTCTCTCTATATCTCTCAATAATGTCTTACTAAGATGATATATTTTTAATTTTATGATCAAGGCTCTGTAGTTTTTATTGTGGTGGCAAAACATATAATGCATCGCAATAAAATAATAAAGAGATGAACAAATAAACATTCCTTAAAAGCCTGATCATATTTGATGCTCACAATTTAATATGATTTTTATAAAAATGATGTATGGATAAAGTAAGTTGCTTCAGTCCAGTAAGTGTCCATATATTAGTAACAATATAAAAATGATTCTTACCTTTACAAAAATCAGATAATTTAGAGTCCCTAGAAATGTGTGTGTAAAATGTCAGGCAATATTATTTGGCTTTATAGGGTTCAGTGTATAATGTGTCCCAAAATGTGTGGTGTCTCTGTGATTTAACCATCTTAGCGTGTGTAAGAAATTGTGTTTGTTTTAAGGAACACTAGATCAGACAATCATGAGTCTCTTGACTAATGCCTTCATGATAATGACAGGTCTGTTATTTCTAAGATACAGATGTAAGAGGCTTGAGATCAGCTCTGAGTTGTCATGTGCCATCTTTGTGAGTAAGTGAGTCTTTGTTCTCTCTGTAGATGACCACCTCAGGAGGAGGAGGCTTCTGCGACTGCGGCGACACAGAGGCCTGGAAGAAGGGCCCTTACTGTCAGAAACACGAGCCCAATATCAGTGACTCTTCTCAGAAGGTGACACACCTCTTCCTTTGTGGCACAGCATCAACAAGAGGAATGGGAATTTAATTATTCTGGTTGAAATGCAACTGATTCTAAATACTTCTTAATTCTCAACCCTACTTGGCAGTACCACACAAATACTTCAGCATGATTAGGGCTGGGTATCATTCAAAAATTTCCAATATCAATACCGATACTGATACCTTGACTTCGATACCGGTTCCTGAACTATACTTTTTTATGAAATCAATTTTAACAAGATTACATTATCTAAAAAAAAAAAAACCTTTGGTTTTATTTTTCAGCTTGTTGTTTATACAAACTCAAAGACTCATCTCCTGCACAAAGGAACAAAATGCAACCAACAGAATAAATCAGTGCAAATAGTTTTAATAAAGCTCAAATAGTCTTCAGTTTACACATCTGTTAGGCTACGTTTACACCAGTTAGTGTTCGTTTTAAAATGCCTAGCTCAGACAGAATCATGATTTCTATTTATCTTCCAC